AAAACATATCATGAATTAAGGTTATATAGGACTAGGCGCCAATATCGCTATTGATATATTCATGAACAAAACAAGTACGATACTAATTTAACTTACACGGTGTAGAGCTTCACCAATTTTTCGGCATGTTTAACCTTGTTCTCGCCCGCTGGTTCCGCCATCAACGCATCCAGATCTTTCCAAAAGTCATAGCATTCGGATGCATAAATCTTCTTCAGATACGTTTCAAATTGCCGTGCAATGGCATTACTGTCGTGGTTGAATATCAAAAGTGCAAGTTTTTGAGAATGAGATTAATTAATGATAAAATAACCAATATCAATGATAAAACATTGCAGTTTTCTATCGTAGATGGCAGGTACACCCACAATATCGAAATCAGCAATGCAATTCTAAATCGAGAGGTCAAGTCTCCCACGACGTTTCGATCACAGTGTTACAACTACATACATCACTCGCTTTGAGCTAACAAGTTGGTAGTATAAACTACAAGACATCACTAATCAGTGCAGAACGTAACATGCAAACCACAAAGCTGCTATGCGGTACCTCGGATTCCTTAATAGCCATTGTAGTTTTCTTTCCGGTGATAGATCGTCGGAGGGTTGATCCAGTTGACTCAACAATTCGGGATTGTCTATTCGGGTGGTTAATCATACACAGATGTCTTAGCACGGAACACATCCACGTGAAGAATCAAAATGCGTTAAAAACGCTAAAGCTTCATCGAACATTTGACTGTCTGTGAAAACGAAGCCTACGTACAGTTATATTAATTTTTTCCTCGTGTTAAAAATAAAAAAATGCGGTAAGTGACATATGTACAGGCCGCACAGCTAAAAACCTTTTGTATCAAAAGTCGAAAAACACGTATAAAAGTACACAGCACAGGCTCTCAAATACCATCGGCCAAGTCCGCCAAGTAATCTTGGTAGTATCCACTCTTCAGGAACCGAGGCCAAGCCTCAAGCATCATTGTCATGCACCAGGCCATTGCATCGTCAAATATATTCGGATTTGCGATTCCTGTCAGGGAATAATACAATAAAAAATGCGTCAGAATCGACTCGACCTACATTTAGGTACAACAACATAAATTCACACCAAGTTTGTAGTCTCCTATGATTAAGAAACGTTGACATACAGCTTCATTACTTGTTCGTACCCTAAGGGCTTCTAGGATAAGTTTCAAAGCAGAACGCGGTCGTGTCATACAGATGACAGCTTTGAATTGCAGAAGAAAGAGAAAAATATATATAGTATGGATTACAATTGAAAAATGGTTTGTTAGTTTATAATAATAAATTAAGCCAAATACTCGCCATCTATGGCTGAAAAGAAGGAATCATCGCGGCAACGATCTGAGGTCACCTTTCTATACCGGAAAAGGATGTGGGCAAATACCCTACCGAAAATAAACAATAGCACGAATAAATACTGTATGTTGAATGAACTTACGAGTTTCGTTCATGACTTTGGCGTCCTTCTCAATGCCACTTTTGCATTCGGATGGTTGACTTACCTGGCATGTCAAAACCAAGCGGACAATTAATACAAAGGGGTATTATACAAAATAAACGTGATAGAGTAGTACGCTGCCATATACACCGAGAGTTTTCGATGGATATAGTTTCAATGTCATAATAAAAACCAGTATATACCAGGTGTCAAGTGGTCTGCACACATCGTCAGGATAGTTGGAATAGTGTGCATACACTGTACCAATGGGTTCCCGATTTATTCGTCAAGCTTCAAGTGATAATTCGCCGAATCGCTGAAGTGTGCTCAACGTAACTCATCATCAGATCAAACACATAGACATCAAATAAAACCCAAATAAAACGCACGCCTGGTTGTTTGAACAAATTACCTTTATCAGAAAGATCCATACGTTTGAATAAAAACAGTTAGAAATAGGGGCGCGATACGAATCAAATTCGCTATGCTATGCGCAACTCAGCAAACATGTTTCTGGAATATAACATATCAAAATGTTCGTGAAAGACAGCGTGTGCATATGCTCGCATTCGCATGTGTCAATAGAAACGATACCTGGCGAACTGAGTTCGGTGCGATATATGTATCGATGATGGCATTCGCCAACTCTAGTGACGGCGCCTCTTCATACTCCGAAGCCAACTGGACAAACAAGGGTGCAAATGCACGCGTGTAGACAAAACAGAGACGCAGAAGTGAGTACGGATACTGTAACGTTAAAAGATTGCGCAATCAGCAACTAAGGCAATGAATGTGATGGAGTTTTGTACTCCCGACCTCGAAGTAGGCAAACGGCTGGCAGCAAGAGTGAACACTTGGTATTGTTTTCAGTTGCGGCTGGTGCGTGGTGAATCACTAGCAGCGGTACCAACTGAATAGTTGCCACCTGATAGGTAGAGCGGACTTCGACTGCCTAATACACTAACTTAACACTGACATCGAGCAGTCCGACTGTCCGCGCAGAAGAGCCGGCAAACGGAAATCGAGTAGCAGATAACACACACAAAAGAATACATAACCGTATACAAATAGAGATATCGATAGGAGCCGCGTACCTCGAAAAACTCCAAATTCTCATCAGCGAATTCGCTCTCCAATTGCAGTCTGAAGTGTTCTAGCAACATGCGATCATTCCTTAGGGTCGCAGCCAAATCATTCATGTAGAGTGTCGTATGGCGCAGCAACGGCACCATATGCTGCTGCGAATTCGCGCCTGATCGCGGGCTTGAAGGGACATCATTCTTATTTGTATTGGCATTGGCAGGTGTCAGCATCTGTGCAAGCGAACAGTGCAGAAAAAATAGGAGAGCTATTACGATGTGTACTGTTGTATATTGAATACTTCCTCTGTAACTGTGGTCAGTTACAGATTACGGCAATTCTGGCTGAAAACGCACAGATCTCAATTATATATA